AGAGGCAGAACTTGCTTATTTGAAAATGAAAAAAAATGAGGTTCTCACTTGATCGTTGGATTATAAGCCTTAAGGGGGAAAAAGTAAAATTTGCAATAAAATAGCAAGACTCTCAACAAAAATTATTAGAGATGGCTATACAGTAATGTTGTCCCTTTAAGAAAATCAAAATTCATGCTCCCACAGCACTCTGTGTGGGTAAAGTTTGGGCAGGCTTCTAGTTTTCTTACTGACATAAAACTGGGGTAATTTACATGGGGCAGGCCCTCAGCCAGACATTCCAATAAGGTCAATGGTGCTGTGAAAATTTATACCAGCTGAGGATTTGTCCCATCATCTTCAAAGAAGTTACTTAGGTTTTGTATACATTAAAGTTTTGATCATTCATAGAATTACACCAGTATCTGATATAGGTATAATGTACCATAGTAAACCCTGACAACTCATGAGGAAAGTTCATTTTGTCTCCGTTTCAAGCCAGGGTAAGCAATATCGGTCCAAGTAGTTATTTACAATGTATATCTCCATAGGTATAGTTAGATGGCTGTTTAAACCCCAGTGTGGGGACAGTTTTAGGGTTTACTTTACTGCCAATTAAATCAGAAGCTAGCTTGCTAACAATTCTCTTCTGAGTTAAGCAGCTATCCCTGTCCCCACTGTACACATGGAGAAGGCGAAGCTTAGAGTTTCAAGGACTTTCCCAGGCCACAGGGGCCAGGTACTGGAATCAGAGTGCAGGGGTCAGATCATCCCATAGGATACACACATAGAACCCCACTTTATTTCAATGCAAACTACAGGTAGACAACTACTATGTTGAGAACATAGAGACCTGACTGCCAGGGATTCCTAAACCAGGGATTGGCAACTTTTTACCAACAGCAGGCTGCTGCTTGCAACCTGGCCACTGCCATGCGCTGCCAATTCCCCCCCCCCCCCCCAACCCCCCCCCCCCCCCATCATGAAAAGGCATAACTAAACACAGTGCAGGGACATTTCCCAAAGCTGGTGGGCACTTTCATGTCCCCTTACTCGTCTCCTCTGCCTACCATGACACAGAGATCACCCCAGTAATCCCTTCCACAGCACTCAGCCCACCTTAGCCCTCCCTACTCTGTGCTGAGGGCTACTTTCTCACTCTCATACCCTGCCTACTGCAGGCTCCACTTACCCTCCCCATTAACTGTCATCGCCATTAAGTGCTACTGATTCCATTCATCCGTGGCAATGGGAAGCACTGAATTCAGTGGCAAGGGTAAGCTGCAGCTGTAGCAAGGGAAAAGGGAGGACAGTGAGAGAGCAGCCAACCACACCAGACAGGGAGGGATAAAGCCCTGAGGAGGCAGATTTGGAGAACTGTTCGAGGGCAGAGGAATGCATGGCACAGGGCAGAGAAGGGGGATGCACTGGGTTGAGCTGCACCCCAACAGGCAGAGGGGACCTGGGGGCTTCCCCTCTTAAATTGGCGCCTGTGGCTGGTGCCCTCCCTTGTCACATACCACCGATCGCCATGCCACTATGTGCTGCCACTAAAGGCTGGATCAGACCTTTGCTGGTGGGAGCCAGCCTGTGGGACATAGATTGCTGACCCCTACTTTAGGCTGTTCTCTCAACAACAGAGTTGTTTACTTCTGCCATGCAGGCCAGATTTGGCCCACGCAGCCATGTCATCCACCCTGCAGGGCTCCCCATGGAGTCCAAAAATTTGGTAGCCAAGGAGAGGTGGCAGTACTAATTGCTGCTCCCCTATTGCCAAATTTCTGGACCTGTGGAAAGCCTAGTGGCCATCTGCTAGATTGGGCACGCAGGGCTGAGGCAGCCAGAGTCCAATCCAGACAGCACAAGGTGGGCTCTGCATAGCACAAGGTGGGATTCAGGTGAGTATGGTCCAATCTGGGTGTTATAAAGTGGGAGCTGGGTGTGCAGGGCCTGATCTGGGCAGCGTGAAGCAGGATCTGGCCAGCACAAAGGGGACCTGGGTGTGCAGGGCCCAATCCAAAGGGTACGAAGCAGGATCTGAGTGCTGACCTGGTGGATCCAGCCCATGGACCAGCCCCACACCACTCATCCAGCCTACAGGACCAAATGGTTGAGTACCACTGGTTTAAACCAAGAAGAATGAAAGAAACAAGACAGTTTGCTGATAGGGCAAATTTACAGGAGAGAAATGTGAGGCACAAGAGTGGAGGGGTACAAACAGCACAGTTACAGAGACAATGAGAATAAGCTAATGGACTGGAAAACAGCTGTTATAAGTCTGAAAACTACCTTAGTTCCTAAATGCTCCTTTTGCAGTCATGCAGAATCCAAAGTTACTGGAAAGTCTAATATCACCATCACCAGCATAAATTTTAGAGGCTTTTTTTCTCCCTTTTAAACGTTAATTAGTATTAACCAAGCATACAAAATTAAAATAGAATTGCAGTGAGAAACCTTTGAGGTGGCACAGGAATTCACAGGGGCTCGGGCTTGCTTACTGTGCTCCATCAGTAGGCACAAAATTACAAAAACTAGTATGCAGAAAGATGGCTTTTGTCATTATCTTATATGCTGTGCAGAGAGGTACTTGTGCTTTTAGCTAATCACATTTCTACTCTTTAAAAAAATGATACCTCTTTTAATTAATCAAAATAGATTTATATCTTGGCTAAGGAATGTCATTTTGCAGCCTGTTCAAAGCACTGGACACCTTGGAATATGTTTGGGCTCAGGAGAAAAAGCATAAACAATCATTGCTTCAGGAGCAAAACCTGCAATCAGTTAAAGTATGATGAGCTCCTCACCTGGGATGGCAGCTGTGAAGTGAAAGAATTTCTTCTACTGCCATTCTGGGCCTCCCTGGGTAAGCAAAAGTTGTAAACCTTCCTGTTGTGCAAGTATTTTAATTAAAACCTGATCAAAATGTTGGTATATTGCTGCTAACTCCAGTCATCCATGAGCGGCATGAAATGGAGAAGGCAACCTCAGAAAGTTCTAGCCTCCCACCAACACCGCTCTCCACAAAAACATGGGCCTGAAAAAAACCACCTCACTGCAGTCAATGGAAAGACTTACTTCAATGGATTTTGGATGAGGACCATAGCCGACAGGCCGCAAAATGGGAGTCAGGCCATGCACAGAGGAAAAGACTGGATAAGATCCTTTTTATGTGGCATTTCCTAGGTTCAGCATTGCGTTATAAAATGGGTTTTTATTTACTACTGTTCAGAGAAGCACAAGCTACTCCACTCCAGGAAATTTTCACAAGGGATACCCACGTCCACCACCATGGCTCGCTCTAGCATAAAAAAAAAAAAAAGATGGGTAGGTTGGAAGAATAGAAAGGAAGAGCTCCATTATATGGCTGTCTAAGAGCAAGGCATGTGATACCCAAAAGTTCCACTTGTGTAGCTCATGGTCTTATCACCATCCTTGCAATGGAAATTACTCTTTCAAAGCCAAGTATCACTTGAATAAATATCTTCTCTCCTTCGTGTTTATATGAGCATAGGTCGCAACATGGATGCCATAATGCTTCCTGAATGAATGCTCTTTGAGAACGTTTTATATCAGAAACTGCTAGCCACAGTTTTGCTTCCTTTAGATGATAATTCAATAAAACAACAGAACATGCTAGCCTTGATGAAGAGCTGCCGTTATGGAGGCTTTCCTGTCTTCCACTCCTATTTATTGATGTTTGGGCTGGGGGGGGAAAAAAAAAAAAAAAACTCTCTCACTCAATTCATTACATGGGCAAAGGACATTATTTTAACCTTTAATCAGCCATAAATACTGTGTTTAAATTATAGCTGTCACCAATACAGTTTTGATCAATTATAGGAAATAAACTTACTATTGATTTCATATTAGCAAGATCATTTTACAAATTAATGTGGGTTGAGCCTGCACATGGAAACCAGGAACATGAGTAAATTCAATAAAAAAGCATCTTCCCTATGGTGCTTTTTTAGGCAGATACATAAGAACCTCAGCAAGAAAGACATTATGAACCAATCTGTGATGGGGGGTTTGGCTGACCAGCATCACTGGGTATATGGCTACTTTATATGGGTCTAGTGTAACCTAAGGTAGTAAGTAGGTCTAGGGAGGGCTAGGAGTAAGTAGGTCTAGGGAGGGCTCAAATCTATATTTCAAGTACCCCTTGAAGCAGCAGGAGATAACCAGGTTGGAATATACAGATCTTTCAGCGAGTTACCGTATGTCATTTTTCCACAGGCGATGCATGAGGGAAACACAAGGGGACAAGTGCCTGCCCAGATTTCTTCACTGACAGTGGAGTGTGGGTCTGCAGACCAGCTGGAGCCAGGCCCTGGCAGTAACGGGGGCAGCAGTGTGATACTTACGCATTTATGCATTTTTCCACCTAAGCGTTCTCAAAAGTGATTTTAGCCAAGATACATGCAGGCCTGACTCCCGAATTTGGACAAAACGGCAGACCAACACACAGCACACCTGTACTTTCATCATCTAAAGGCTACCACATTTAAAAAGACTATAGGCACCAGAAGATTCATCAGATAAAAAGTCTATCATGAAATGAATTCCAATTTGTCTAGCTGTCCTCTGGGACTTCGAAAACTAACCCTATTAAGTATACTAGTGACATAATTTTAATTGTTTTCTTTGTCAGCAATGATTTAATTACGCCCAATTTTTAAAGCCTAGATGATCAAAGATGAAAGCTCATGTCTTTTTTTAAGAGTACCACAGCTAATGAAATAATATTCTATAAGACTGTTGAACTGCAAAGTGATAAATGAGAAGAAAATACCTTGGCTCACTGGGAAGCCTATTTCTAAGTAATTGCCAATTTTACTGTATTTTCCAAGGACTGCAGTCAGAAAACAGTAGCATGCAGTGACTAGACATTGGAGTTACAAGCAAGCAGCTAAAAGAGGTAAGCAAAATCTATGCAAACTTCAGGACAATAATTATACATAATGTCCAACTCCCTATGAGTTGTCTTTAAAAGAAACACACAGTTAAACTAAAATTCATACTTCTCTCAGACTTTTGTTTAATCCACTGTCACACAGAACATCAAGGATTACTAGAAAGAAAAAGGAAAGGAAAATACAATTATAATACTATAACATGTGGCAGCACAAACAGGAAGATACTTGAGATCGTTTTTCTAAACTATATTAACTGTCCCTCTAATTTCAGTAGTTCCAAGCTTAATAACAACATGCACAAAGACAGCATTGATTCTGTGCTGTAAACAATGGGGGTTTGTTTATCCTTCTGATATAATGGCTGACAATAAACATTGGGATAGAGGAAGGCTTGATTCCATCATAGCCTTTTTTTCTGTTGACACAAGTTGCAAATTTAGAGTGACTCATGCTGTTGCAGCATGCACCAGCACAGGGCTGCTAAGGCAAAATGTCTTTGCACCTAACAGTCTTTTTCCATTATACAGAAGTACGGCCAGTCAGGCATGGGTGTGATCTGATGTATGAAATTACTAAACACAGCAGCAGAAGCAATCAATCCTGGGAAGCTGGAAATAGAAAGATCTACATGTTTGCTGATACATTAGGCTACCACTGTCTCTAATGCAAAATGCCACACTTCAGCTTAGGTTTACTGAAAGTACTTATAAAAGTAATGCAATTAACTCTGCAAGAACAAGTTGGGGAGGAAACAAAGGTAGACTCTTTCAAAGTATGTCTTCAGAACGGTAATTATGAAATTCAATAAAATAAACAGAATGAGAACCAGAAAAAAATGTAGGAAATCTCTACAGAGTATAGGAAACTTATGTGAACATGAAAGCAAGTATTATATAAATCAGAATGAGGAAAATTGGAAGAAATAAAACATTTATTGGAGTCTATGCACTGGAAGCACAAAGCTGATATTTTAATAGCGGGAGTCTTCAGGTATATGCTTGAATACTGGGAATTCTTCCAAAACATATCATTCTGCCTACACCAAACTATACACTAGTAATTTAGCTCAGAATGGTGAGAGCATTTTCTAGAACTCCTGAGCTGGCTTATTTTTTCAGTCCATTCTTTTATTAGAATTCCCTGAACTTTTTACTTGGTACTACTCATGCAGCGTGGCAAACAGTAATCTGAAAATGGTCATACATAATCAAGCAAAGAGATTAAAGCAAAAATTCTTTGCCAAAGAGTCATTGAAAATAAGAACTCTTCATTTCTTTAATTCAAATTTAACATGCATGATCTGTAATATTGAAACTTATGTCCTTCCAACAGAAGAATTTCCCAGAAATTATGAAATCCCGCCCCCTCCCTATGCAGTTAAATACCCAAACACTATTGAAAATACGGGTCATATAATATTAACTGCTCTGAACCTGTTTCATTTTGGGGCAAATCCTCTTCGGTGTCAGCAGACAAACACAGATGCAGTGGAATCAGAGTGACTGTACTGCCAGAATTGAGTGCATCCTGTCTACGAATCCATACCACTGGAATAACATGAAGCAACAATCATTTTGGCCAAAACCAGTTTAAGATAAACCTGGATGCATACAGAGTCAGGCTTAAGTGATTTAGGTTAAATAAGTTTATTGAACTTCTGTCCCAGATTCCCTCCGGATTCAAATCAACTCTCAGTCCCCCAGCATCCCAGGATGCTTTGCACCCCCCTGCAAGCCACCCCCTTGCAGCATGGGTGGAATACCCTTGGCCCAAGCTATCTGCTTCAGCTGAGCAGGAAGTCATGCTCTAGTGCTCTCCAGCTTCTGGCCTGGGCCATCACAGACATGCGGTTGCATTTCTGGAATCAAAAGTCAATGTCTGTTCATTTACTTATCAGCTTAATCTATGCAGTTTAAGATAACCTGCGAAGATTGAATCAATTCAGCCTCAGGCTTTTTGACTGTCTGAACTTAGCCTAGGGAAAAGGCAAAGATATTCCACTTGAGTATAAATCAGAATCAATTTGTTAAGCTGATAGGGATGTTTGCCTAAGGATGTTCACCAAAGTACAATATGTTTTTCAAAGTTTTAGAACACTAAATCTGTAGTGTTTGTATTATGTGGCCAAGTAACTTTTAAAAAATAAAAATGAAGCTTTGCTTTATTGAAATACATCTCTGAGAAGCAAGGGATTTTTTAGAAAGACTTGCTTCTTTCCCAGACCTGAAGAAGGGCACTTTGTGCCTGAAAACTTGTCTAACATTGTTCCTAAGCATACAGTTGCTCCAGTAAAAGATGTCACAGAAAAAACCTTGCTTTTCATATATTTCCTGGACCATTACAACCAGCTACAACACTCTGACCCTACTACATGTATATCTGTATGTATTGTGATACATTGGCTGCTGACAGACTCAAGGGAAAAAAAACAAAACGGTGCTTTCCTGGAAGAGGAGCTGCGTCAGTTTGACCTGGCTCACCCAACATCTGTATTCACGTGCTTCAGTGGGCTTTTTGGTGCTTTTATTTAATAGCTGATTGAATCAGCTATTAGAGAAGAGCACCAAAAAGCCCCACCCTGTTGAAGCATGCGATCTATACAGACACTGGGTAAGACAGGTCAAACTGACATGGCTCTTCTTCTGGGCATGCACTATGCTTGATGCAGGGGTGCACAGAGCTGAAAGTAAAGCACCGGGATTTTTTTCCCCCTCGTCTGTCAGTGGCCAATGATGTTTCTTCTGTCCCTTCATATCTAAAAAAAAGCAATTTGTTACTAAACAAAATATTCCAAATCCCTTCTCTAGAAGGCCAGGTTGACAATTTAATCAAGCAGAAAGAAAGTGTACATTCTACCAATGTGGAGTTAACCATTTCAATCCAGTTTGTTTGTTAGCGTGTCCATGCAGGGTACTGCCCGATCCCCTGGTTCTCATCTGCCACGACTTTGATGTTATCAAAGAAATAAGGAGGGAAGAGATGTTGCAATGAGTAGCACCCACGGAAGGACCACGCTTGGTCTATTTTACAATCTAGGTGCTTTATTATTCTTTCTTTTACAGGGAACCAGGTGGGAGGCAGCAGCTCGTCAGTGGTTCCTGGGATCAGCCCCATGTTCCGAAGAGGATCCCCAGCACCTCAAATCGGGACAGTAAGTGAGGAGGAGCATCTCGCCCACTTGTAGCTGCATTGAACAATCAGTCCCTGCAGGGTCCCCTCTCAGTCCTCTGCCCTGCGTAGGGTGTTGCCGAGCTTCCCCATCTTATTCAAGTCCTTGCCCGCTCCCCATGATCAAAGAAAGTAAAAGGGAGAAGAAGGGTTTTCTTTGTTTCTCTCACATCTGGGCTCCCTGCCGCTAATTACTTCATTAGCGGCTTGTTATGGGCGCCGCCCAGTCTCTTTTGCTGCGCAGTGCCAATACACGGGTTCAGGAGTTAGCCCGTGACCAGGTCCCGAAATCTCAGCCCCCAGCGTCCCTCTCCCCTCGGGTCTGGATGCTATGCTGGGACTCTTCAGGGGTCTAGGCTGGTGACCCCCCGCCCCCTTTGGCTTTCAGGTTGCCTCTCTGCGTCCCGGTGCCGAACCCGTGACTTCTTTCCATGCCGTGGCTGCTCTTCCCCGCACTCACCGCCGTTCCTGCGGATTTCTGGTAGGTGGTGCGTGGGCCTGCCAGTCCTGAGCTCTGGGATCCCTCAGCTCCCGCTGATCCTGCGTTGTGGATCCCTCCTCTTGGATCCTTCTCTTGGAGAGTCTCCACCGCAGCTCCTCTCTTGTCCTGTGGTACCTGAAGGCACCTTTCCCTGGGCATCGTCCTCTTCATATCCCCGGGCGCCGAGCCCCATTGGCTCTCCACGGGTGTGGGGCGTCTCCTCGCCCCGCCAGGCCATAATCACTACCAGCTGCGAGATCTCTCAAGTAACAGGGTTTCAGTTGGGAATCCTGTTACATTCTCAATAGCCACCTGTAAATGAGGCAGAATTAGGAAAATGATTAGCAAATCTTGGGAAATAGCATACCTACCATCCTCCTCACCTGCCAGTAAATTTGCTTTTGAATGCAATGGGCCAGATGTTTGTCCCTAACACAGCCCAACAAGCATAAAGTTGCTTTATCCAGGCAGGTGGAGATTGCAACCTGCATGAGGAAGGTAGAAAGCCTATTTAGCCAGCCCAGTGACACCCTTTTCAGAGTAGGGGTGTGATGGAGATGATGTGTAGTTTGCCAAAGTATACTGTGGTGTGTTGATCCCCAGCTGGGATAATGACTCCATGAAGACAGTCACCAGCTAGCATAAATTAACTAAAGCAGCTTCAAGACGTTTCTAATTTGCAGCTGCCACAGAGCCATTCTAAGTAAAGCTCCCCCCTCCCTCCATCCTGGAGCACGTGTATAGATGCCCAGGCTAAGTACAGACAGTCAAAAAGCCTGAGGCTGAATGACTGAGTCTTTGCTGGTTAGTCTAAACTGCAGAGATTAAACTGAGAAACAACTGGACACACATTCACTTTTGATTCAGGAAATGCAGCCACATACCTGCAGTGGCTCAAGCCAGAAGTTGGGGGGTGCTAGAGCACGGCTCTCTGACATATAGCCAGCATGGCTGTGTATTTACTTCCTCTTCCTACTGCCCCCGAGGTCTCTGGGATTTGCAGTCCAGAATAACAGAAACAGGACTCTGCAGGGTTTCTCATCACTTCCTCTTCCTGCTTCCAGGTGCCTCTGGGATTTGTAGTCCATAGTTGCAGCCAATAGTGACATTCAGTAAGTTTAGCAGGGCAGGGCAGTTCTGTACTTGGGGGAAAGGGGCTTTAGCCAGGGGAAGGCGGATTTAACCCCCCTCCCTGGTCTGAGACCCCAGCTGGGGTTTGCTGAGGTAGTCCCTGTCTCCCCTCCCTCCCCACAACCCTTCTCTGCTGGAGCAGAGAACACAGCCCAGCCCAGGACTGGAAAGCATGCTGGAATGCTGGGAGATTCTGATTTAACTTAAACCAGGAAGGGGTCTGGGATAGAAGTTTCATAAACTGGTTTGACCCAAATCAGTTAAGTCTGATATTACATTCAACCAGTTTCATCTTAAACAAGTTTCAGCTGTTTTGAAACTGGTTGATGTGCACAGATCTTCTGTTCTGTTACAGGTTGAAACTAGTCTCTGATGACTTAAACCAGTTTACATGTAACTTCTGTCCCTAGCCCTAATGTTCTCCCAAGATAAAGAGATAATTAGACAGATAGCTACCTATCCCAACACACCACCAGCATTTTAAGACAGGATGCCATTTCATTGTGGTTTAGAAAGATGTCAGTGAGCGACTTTCATTTCCATGTTATTCTCCCTCACAACAGGTGTTTCATTTGGAGAGCAGTTAAATTGCAGACATGAAGACAAATGTTGCTACGTTACTGTAGTAGAGATTATAGGTGATAAGCATGTCTGGTAAGGCATGAGAGTCCTGAAGAATTGCTGGGATGCTTCTTGCTTGTGTCACGTACAAGCATTTTTTTCCCATTCAGCCCCGATACTGCTAGCCTGCTGGATGAAGTGCATATGGAGTTAAAAGGAATAGTTTGTTCACTCTGATACCTATATACCTAAGAACAGGAGCTAACAAGCAAGACACAAAAGAGATCAATCTACTTCAGTAAGTGTTCGTAAATTATGTAATCAGTAGTATTTTTCACACAGCAAACTAATGCTCCAATGTTCCTTTGTCTGTGGAATTGTAAACGTGCTGAAGACCCAATGAGGGTTCAGTCTTGTCCCAGAATAATGTATTCTGACCTGGAAAAGCAAGGTTCATCTTTATCACTTGACACTGAAAAGTTAAACAATGCATTGAAGAAAGTACACGTACTTCCTGAGACAACTTCCAATTCAAACAACACATTCCCCAGGCAGGGAAAAGGAATGAAGGCTCCAAAGCAAACACAGTCTGAGAACTCTATTTATAAAAACAAGACATCTATCTCTTTCCGATGTATCCTTTTCCTAATTTAGAAAGGTGCAAAGTGAAATATTTCTTGATCTATACTTGCGGATGCCACCAGCAGTCCACAAAGGACTGATATCACACTAATGTTTGAATCAGGTCCTCTTCCTCAGGATTTACTGTTCCAACACAAAATTCATCCATGGCACAAAAAGAGTCCTCCAAGAGGGCCTCTGCCCAGTGTTACCGGATTCAGGATTTGCCATAGCATGAATGCTTATAGTGGTTAAGTTTGTGACTGTAAAGTAACCAACATAAGCCAGGTTTATCCTACTTTAAAGAGAGCACACACAGCTGAACCAACTGAACTCAGTTGGCATAGAAACATAATGTTTGTTAAACTAGTGCACCTTCTATAAACCAGTCCTCACCACGTTCTCTTTCGGATAAGTATCTTTTAATTCCTTTCCTGCAGACACTTCTAGAGCTTTTTGCTGAAAATCCTGGGCCAATTTCTACAAATGTAACATACTGAAACAGGCAGGTACAGGTTTCCCTCACTTTATACTGTACATGCATTCCTGGAAAACAACAACTCAAATTTGCATAAAG